CCGTCTATGTGCTGGGCTCTTGTATATGATATGCGTCTGCTGGTTTTATCGTCTTCAACGTATCTTTCTTTGTTTCTTTGTTTCTTTGTTTCTCCGTTTCTCTCTCTGTGGAGATGCTGCGTGCAGCCCACGCTGGTGAAGCTGGTGGTGGTGGGATTGAAACTCACATGCGCATTTGCACTTCTCTTCTCTTCTGGGTTTCTGCGTGCGTCTGCATGCATGCGGATGTTAGATAATTTTTTTTTGTTTTTGTTTTTTGCTTTTTGCTCAGGTGAAAACACATTGAGGCGCGAACAACTTAACAAAGCGACACGGCCGCAGCTGGGGGATACGCACTCACGACTGACTGGGCGGCAGGATTCAAAGACTCCTACGGAACGGACTTTACTTTCTTTCTCTTTTTCTCTTTTCTTTTGCGTTCTCTGTTCCGCAGTCATGGAGGAGCCGGCTGACGTTTCCGCCAGCGTGCCAGGAAGAGTGCGTTCACTGACTGCCGCGGAGGAGGTCGAGCCGTCAGACGCCGAGGCGCCTTCTCCACGCGTGCCTGACGCCAGCGTGAGTGCTGAGATACCTGCATCGCCTAGGAATACCGCCACTGATGGCGTGTTGGTCGCAGCAATTGATGGGGATGCGGCGGCAGTCGCACCTGCAGCAGACTCTGGCGACGATGTGCAGCGGCGACTCACAGCGATGGACATGTTCCCTGGCGGTGGCATCGTTGCCGGGGCAAACACTGAGGTGCCTTTGTCAGCCGAAGTGATCTCCTACGCGAAGGTGGAGAAGACGCTGGAGGACGAGCGGAAGTGCTTAGCTGAGGTAAAGAGCACTCTTGAGGAGGTGCACGAGGCGGAGCAGGCGCGGCACGCGATTGAGGGCAGCTTGAGCTCTGACACGACCGAGAAGGAGGATGCGGATGAGCCGTGTGATTTCCTGTATTACGAGGACGAAGAAGACTCTGCCGTGCGCGCCATTGAAGACAAGGAAACCAACTTTTCCGCTGCCGTTAAGAACCAAAAGCTTCCAGAGGTTACTGAAGCGGCGAGTTCCACAGCGGCAGACGGCGATGGCAGCAAAGAGGCTTCTTCGGCTTTGTCAAAACGAAGGGCGGGCGGCCTGCAGCGGCCGCGTTTTTCTCTGAGGCGGGGCGAGGGCGGCCGCCTGTACGCGCGATTCACGCCGCTGACAGAGTCTGTCATTCGCTCGGCGTGGGGAGAGGTGGTGTCGAGGCGGGATGCGCAGTTGGAGGCGAGGATGCTTCCGGAGGATTGCCGGTCCACGCGGCCGCGGCCGCGAGTTCGCACTTCCTCGGCGGCGGCTCACCCTCGCCCGCTTTTGCCGCCTGTGAATGGCTCGGTGCTCTCGCCACCTGGCGGGTCACCGCCGCGAGCAGCAATTCTTTTGGATCTCCAGCGCATCGTGGGGCGCGCCCGCTTTGAGGCGCTGCAGTGGACGTGTGAGCGGATCGTACCGGACGTGGTTCATGCTTCACCGAGAGGCGGCAGGGCGGAGGCTGTCGATGCCACGTCCACGCCGCCGCTCAATTACGCAGCTGGTAGGTATTTTCTGCCGCGTGTGTGGAGGACTGTGCCGCCAGGGTCGGGCAGCACCAAGGCTTACGCCCCTTACGCGCTGGGAACTGGGACGATGGGCGCCAACTCAGTGAACTACCCGTGTGCGATGGCATCCACAGCAGCCGCACATGCCGTACAGCCCGAGGGGGAGAATTCCTTTGCTGCGGCGCAACCCAGGACTGACGGACGTTCCACTTCTGTTGTGATGTTGCCTTGCGTGTCGGACAGTGGTATTTCTGCTGGGCCGGCAGTTATAAATACTCCAACGCAGCCCATTGGACGGAAGCGTGTGGCCACTGCGTCAAGTGCGCCTCTCATGCGAATTGGCTCCACATCTTCCCAGGGCGGAAACGTGAGACGGAGCTCGTATTCGACTCCGCGCCCATCCCTATCCAGCTCCCTTCCCACCAATGGCGTACGCAAGCCTTCATGCTCATTGCCCATGTACTCAACGGCAGAGCAGTGCCTAGAGAAGGAGCGGGATTGCCTAGAGCGCGTTCAAGACATCGTGGAGAAGTTCTACGATAAGTATACCCGTTCCTTGCAGGATGCTCATGAGATGTAGCCTTTGAGCCCCCCTTCAGAGGTTACCACCGACGGCTTGAATGCGGCTGCCCGGGTGTAACTAATGTTATTTGTTTTTTTTTGTTTTATTCTTCTGGTTATGTTGCAAATCTTTTTATTTTTCCCACATCGACTTCTTCTTTTGGTTTCTGTGAAGGACGATATGCCTTCAGCTTTGCCGTTTCTCTACAGTCTGTGCGTGTGTGTCTTTTTCTCTCTTTTTTTTTTTAACGTGTCGATATGTGAGGCTAGTCATACAACCTGATTTTTCCCCTTTTGGATTTGCCTCTTCGTTCATCCCATTCCCGTCTGCTTGTGCGTGTGTGGAGGTGTATTTTCTTCTATTCACAAGTCGAATGTGCTCCTCTCACTGGATCCCTTGCAGCATTTTCCACCTGCCGCTATTTTTTTTTTTGTTCTTTTGCTCGCCCTCCCGTTGTACGCGGTGTGGGCAACGCTGCCATGTGGAGAGTTGGGGACGGTAAAGTAGTGGCCGGAGAGGAATATATAAAACAACAACAACAACAACGGAAGCGGCAACGAAAAGAGAGAAGTCTGGAATGAGTATGCATGTACATGAATGCTATGACAACGTTTTCTTTTCCCCCCTTTTTTTGTCTTCTTCATCTTCTTCTTTTGCTTGCATTTAATGCTCTGCGTCCGCACAGAAGGTATGCTGGCATGTCGCACACTGTGGGCGATCTCGCTATGCCTGTCTGCCAGTTTGTGCGTATATATGCAGACATATGTATGATTGTGATTGTGATCGTTTGTTTGCTCGTTTTCCTGTTTTTATTGTGGCTGTCCTTTTGTATTGTGTGCTTAATGCCTCTTTGTGCCCCCACCGGGATGTATTCCCCTCCCACTCGTCACCCAGACGTTTGGCGGACTACAGCTAACATGTGCATGCCTGCTGCTTCTGTCTCCTTTCCTGCCGCTCTTACTAGGCGCGTGCGTGGGCTTTGTTTGTTCTCGATTCGCATTCCTGCGAGCGTTTCAGCATCTCCCTTGCAGCAGAGCAGAGCAGAGCAAACAAAAGGAGACTACCAGCAACCAAAGCGACTTCGCAACCCACTAAAGGATTTCCACGGAAGTCAACTCCTCTCCGTTTTTTTTTTGCTTTTTTGCGTTCTCTGTTCCGCAGTCATGGAGGAGCCGGCTAGCGTTTCCACCAGCGTGCCAGGAAGAGTGCGTTCACTGATTGCCGCGGAGGAGGTCGAGCCGTCGGACGCTGAGGCGCCTTCTCCGCGCGTGCCGACGCCCCCTCAGGTGCGTGGACAACGGCCTGAAGTCATGTGCCACGTTGTCTCGCTGGAAAACGTCTCCAATGAAGCTTCCAGCGGCGTGGATGAACGGGGGCGGCACCAGGCGTCACTCGCAGAAAAAGACGCGTTGGACGTGATGGCGCCGCGGGAACGACTCACCGCTGCATGCCACAAATTGGCGATGCAATGTCTGACGTACAGCAGGGTGGGGAACGCCGTTGTGCGCTCTGCGTGGGACAGTCTGCCCAGCCCAACAAATGTGGGCGCTGCTTTGCCTTCGTCTGCGCTGCGCATTTACGCGAAGACACAGCCGTCGCTGACGCGTCGCCTGTCGTGGGGGAAGTTCACGCTGCAGCGGAGCCAACATTCGCCACCCATTAAGCCAGCCGCATGCACCGCCACAGCTGCACCTGACGTCACCGTGAAGAAGTCGC